GCTCACTGCAAGCTCCGCCTCCCGGGTTCATGCCATTCTCCTGCCTCAGCCTCCCGAGTAGCTGGGACTACAGGCGCCCGCCACTGCACCCGGCTAGTTTTTTTGTATTTTTAGTAGAGATAGGGTTTCACTGTGGTCTCGATCTCCTGACCTTGTGATCCACCCACCTCGGCCTCCCAAGTGCTGGGATTACAGATGTGAGCCACCACACCCAGCCTGGAAGTTACTTCTTCATCTCCCACTTCTGACCAGTTTAATTTTGGAGTGTTAGGTTGCTATGGATTTGTTTTTCAGTCTCATCTTCATTTGGCACCTATTTCTATTTGTATTTAGTTATATGAATATTTTTCATCAGAAGCCATTGTAAGTTTATGTCATGGTTGTTTTTTATATTTCAGTCGCCCTTACACAAACAAAGTCATTACTCTATGGTACCGACCTCCAGAACTACTGCTAGGAGAAGAACGTTACACACCAGCCATAGATGTTTGGAGCTGTGGGTAAGGTTCTGTTAACTTTTTCTCTTGTCTGTAACTTACGTATTGTTGACTTGTACTTTGTTTTCTCTGTACACTGGCTTTTTAGAGCTCTTATGGTGATAAACTTTTGGCCAGATTTCTGGGGAATCTGTTGAATATTTCTTAATGTCAGAGACACTTTTTTTAAAAAACAGATTTCTTCTTTTTTTTGTTTAAACTTTGAATTGATATCTTATTTGGAAATAAGATATCCAAGTAAGGTTCATAGACTGCAATTGATTACATCAAATCTTTTAATTTTACATTCCCCTTCTGTGTTACCTAATTTTGATTTATTTTGTTTCCTTATAATTTCCTTAGAAGAAACTATTTCACTTGTCCTATCCAGCCTTTTGTAGTCTGGATTTCGCAGATTGTATCCTTGTGATGATACATATATATTTTAGCATGATTTTTTTATCTTTTTTTTTTTTTTTTTTTTTGAGAAGGAGTCTCGCTCTGTTGCCCAGGCTGGAGTGCAGTGGCGGGATCTTCGCTCACTGCAAGCTCCACCACCTCCCGGGTTCACGCCATTCTCCTGCCTCAGCCTCCCTAGAAGTTGGGACTACAGGCGCCCGCCACCACACCTGGCTAATTTTTTTGTATTTTTAGTAGAGACGGGGTTTCACCGTATTCACCAGGATGGTCTTGATCTCCTGACCTCGTGATCTGCCCGCTTCGGCCTCCCAAAGTGCTGGGATTACAGGCGTGAGCCACCGTGCCTGGCCGATTTTTTATCTTTTTATTGTTTGAGACAGAGTCTTTCTATGTTGCCCATTCTCGAGTCCAGTGGCTGTTCATAAGCATGATCATAACACGCTATATCCTTGAACTCCTGGGCTCAAGCAGTCCTCCTGCCTCAGCCTCCTGAATAGCTGTAACTACAGGCGCATGTTGCCGTACCCAGCTTATCTTTTTTACTTTTCACAAATTGTAAATGGATTAAAGGTTGATTACTCACCACCCACCCAGGGTCAGGTAGTAGACCCTGAAACTACTTTACAGTTGGTTTTGAATACTTCTAACAAAAGTTGTATAATCAGTGGTACATCAGAGTTGGGAGGTGGGGAGCAGTGGGAGCCTCTGTCCAGAGTACAAGCAGTAAATGAGTATGTTGTCTGTGGAAGATTTTGAAACAACAAAACAAAACAATCCAGTATAAACTAGTCAGCTTTTTATTATGGCCTTGTGAGGGCAGTCCTAAATGAGCAGATTTGTACACACACACCACTTTACATAATAGTAATAGTCTTTTTTTGGGATGTTTTCAGTTACTTGGCCATTGCCCACATCTGTTAATTCATTTGTGGTTATTTTATGATGGTCACATTCTAATTATATCATTTCTTATTGGAATGCTTTATATCCTCCCATCTGTTTGGCTGAACTCAGGTCTAAATAATATAGAAACGGTAGGATAAAAGTTAATTCTTTAATTTTATTTAACAGTTTTCAAAATAATGAAGTAGTTTCCTAGTATCCTTCAAAGATGACCAATGAAAAGTGTTTTTGTTTTTTGGTTTTATTATGAACTCGTAGATTTAAACTTATTTGATGTATTTTAATCCATTGTGGTTATTATCCTTATTCTTGTTCAAACTGTGCAGGCTTTAGCCAGTGGGAGCTTATTCAGGCTATATTTTGAGTCCTTTTGACACACCATAGTAGTGTTATAGTAGAAAACATCTTGTTTTTGGTTCTAAGCTTGTCCTGTTCATTTCCTGTCCCAGAACTGGAATCAGCCATTTCTCTAAGGAGTCTTAGTTCCTTTTAGTGGAAAATTATATTTAGAAACTACAGTTTGTGTGTTGGGGCATGGATGTTTTAAATGGGCCATGTTTGTTAATTGTATCTTATGTTTTATGATTTATGCCCACTCACACACTGTCCTTGACCTCTATACTTTACAATTCTGACATATATACTTCCCAGTGGAGCAAATCACTTCTTTCCATTCTTTTCCTTCCTCTATTAATGTCAGTCTTTAAGAGGAGCACTACAGGGGTTTTATTTTAAAATTCAACAGAATGATGGAGAAAGAGCATAATTTCTGTAGTAGCCTACCCAAATCAAATAAAGCTTTAGTTAAATTTTACTGACTCAAGCTGGGTGTGTTTTTGTTCTGGACTATTTGCTTTAACAGTATTAGCATTTAAATTATCACAACCAGGCTCTAAAGTTAACACCCCATTAAGATGCATGGGGAAAGTTCATAGCTCTGTTTGGTACTATTATTTCAGTCTGTGCAGCCTGCCACCTCAGTGCAGTAGCAAAGTGTTGATTACATAATGAAGATGTCTTCCCACCAAAGGACTGGAAACCAAAAGAAAATAAAACAGAAAAACACAATTGGAAATTACAACTACAGAAATTTAGACATTCTTCAAAGCCCAGTGGCTCATTGAATTAAGATTTTGTTTGAGTTTTGATGTGAACTTACTACTTTGGTGATCCATGGTAGTCTCTCTGAAGATATTTCTATGGGATTTTTAATAGAGAATTGGTATGACAGTTCAGTGTGCAAATTAGAATCAAGAGGAGAAACTAGAAAGACTAGTACAGCAAATTATGTTGGGAATCTGAAAACCTAGTGGTTTTTTTTTTTCTTTTTTTCTTTTTTAAATGTCTGAGTTTACCCTCTGTGACGACAACACTGCACTTAGAACTTGATGTGGCAGTTAATGTTGAAAGCAGAATTAAATTTTACTTTTCTTTTTTTTTTTTTTGAGACGGAGTCTCGCTCTGTCGCCCAGGCTGGAGTGCAGTGGCCAGATCTCAGCTCACTGCAAGCTCTGCCTCCCGGGTTCA